TGGGCCTTCTTCCCTATAGGAAGTCCTTGTCCCTAAGGGAATACTAATAGCCAGCTTTTAATAGTGTTTTAAGGTTTATAAAATGCTTTACACATATTATCTTATTTGATCCTTCCGGTGATCCTAGGAGATAGGTGGTACCATTATGATCCCCATTTTCACAAATGAGCAAAGTGAAGTTAAGTGACAACCAGCTAGTAAGTGTCTGGGGCTAGATTTGAGCTCAGGTCTTCCAGACTCCAGATTCAGCTCTCTATCCACTACCAACAAGCTGCCTGACTTGTAACAATACATTGGGTTGATTTCCATATCCCACCCAGTTGCCATAGAGATATTTTGTGGGACCTGAGAGATAATTAGGGACACGTTGGATTGCTATGTCAGCTTTTGAAAAAGTGGAAGGGGCTTCTTTATGTGGAGGGCAGTGTTCGTGGGGATCTAAAGGAGAAAGTCTGTTAAGAGATGCAGCTACCATATTCAAACTTTGTCCCACTCTGCCTGAGACACTGTTATAGATGGAGGGTTTTGGAGTTCTGCCTCCAAGTAATTAGGAACAGTGGGATAGGGGTCTAGCCTATGACATAAGGTCCTCAGCCTGGCACTGTGTTGCTAGAGCTGTAATCAGGTCTATCAGAGGAATAAATGTAACTGGACCTTGAAGGTGAATGCCTGCTGGTGGGTAGAAAATCCCCAGTGTTATTTTTCACAAAAATCATTTGTGTCTCCTTCAAGACTGGGAAAATTCTAGAGGCCTCCCTCTCTCTGGGATGGAGAGACCTCAAATGAAATATAAAGATGTGGCCAGACACAGGGTTTGACCAGACCTGAGGGTAATGCCTTGCACCACCTACTGGGAATAATAGAAATCTGAAGGGAAAGCCAGTTGTCCTAGGAGGAGGGTAACACCTGATACCATCTGTTGGGAGCTAAGAAGCAGAGCTGGAGGAGCTGCTACCTTCTGGGAGTGAGGTGGAACTTCAGAAGGTGTCAACACAAGCTGGGAGCAGCAGAGAGGAAACCTGTCCAGGGATGTGTTGGAGATGGTTCTTACCTGCTCAAGAGAGATGGTTGTTATATTTTCAGTGTGAACATTTAAACCTTGGACATTAGCAAATATTACAAATCAGGGCTTGATTTATTGTTTTGTAGATTGTCTAGACTTAAGAAAGTGATACAGAAAATACTAATAGTACAGGTTAAATTTATAGTGGGTTGTAGGTACATTCTTCCCCTCCCTCCCCCAGAGCCAGTTGTTAAACATTCACCACACACCACTGAAACCACCTTTTTATGACTATAGTAGTTAATGACCATTTATTAAGTACCTATTATGTGCCAGGCACTGGGCTAAGATCTAGGGTGACAAAGAAAGGCAAAAGGCAGGTCCTGCCATCAAGGAGTCCACAATCTAATCGGGGAAGATAATATATGAAAAGAAACTGAAAAAGGTGAGGGGAAGAGGATACTCCGCCAGAGACATGATGAGTTCCTGCAGCCAGGTAGGAAATACGATGACTGCCCTGGGCCCCCCTCCTTAAGAAGGAAGCCTCCAATGTCCATGCTCCACCCTTCCCAACCAAAGGGTAATAGACAGTCCCTGCCCTCAAGGAGCTTCTCTCTCTCTCTCTCTCTCTCTCTCTCTCTCTCTCTCTCTCTCTCTCTCTCTCTCTCTCTCTCTCCCCTCTCTCTCTCTGTCTCTGTCTGTCTGTGTCTGTCTGTATTTGTCTGTCTGTCTCTATCTATCTATCTATGAAAGTCTCACATGTTGGCTCAAATAATCAACTTCCCAATGCTAAATAGGGGAAGGGTGGCTACATAGCAATCCATCTGAAGATCTGGGGGCTTTAGTGGAGTTTGAGGTTAATATGAATCAACATGTGTGATATGGCTCCCCCTCTCCCCCTACCCCCACAAGCCAATGTAGTGCTAGATTGTATTAAGAGAGGCATAGTGTCTAAGACTAGGAGGTAATAGGATAATAGCTCTTCTGTACTCTGCTTTGATCAGACCACATCTGGAATACCTTGTTCAGTTCTCAGTCATTTTTGGACAAATACTGATAAACTGAAGAGTGTCCAGAGGAAGGCAATCAGGATTGAACCATAGGATGACCAAGTGAAGAAACTGAGGATGTTTAGTTGGATGAATAAAAGACTTACAGGTGACATGGTAGCTGTCTTCCAGATTTGAAAGGCTGAAGTATGAGAAAGGTACTAGATTTGTTTAACTTGCTCCCAGAGAGTACAGCAATGGGTGAAAGTTTGCAGAGAGGCAGATTTAGAATTGACTGAAAGAAAATTGTTCTGACAATCAGAGCTATCCAAAAGTGGCCTACCTCACAAGAGGTACTAAGTCTTCGTCCCTAGGGGTCTTCAGACAAAGACTAGATGAGGACATATCAGGCATGTTACAAAGTGGATGCTTCTTCAGCGGTAAGTTGGACCAGAGCACTCAGATTTCTCTTCTAACTCAGAGATTCTGTAATGGCAAAACTTTTAGAGTAGAAAATGTATTCCCTGTCCTGAATGTGACCATATCCGCAGAAGTATAGGTACAAAGTCTTGGCTAGTCACCAGACAAATGCCATATTCTTGCACCATGAACAATTACAGGAAATTGTTATTTATTGTTTATAGGAGATGCTGTCACCTTAAGGGGGAAATTTGTGCTGTGTCTGCCATATGCTCTGAGATATTGCAAGAATGACAGGTGTCAGGCACAGAAAAAGCAAAGACAATGTCTAGAGCCTGCTCTTGATGCTTTGTGGATGTTAAAAATGAAAAATCTGTACTGTCATAGTGCATGTGTGCTTGAGGGAGATGAACAATCACTTTGGGAGTATGGAGAAGGCCGAGCACGTTTAAGTCCAGTCCCCAGATACAGATTAAGAAGAGGTGAAAAATTTCTACCTACACAGAAATTATAAGAGGTGCTGGCCAAAGTGGTGATTAAAGGTGCAGTGACTTTAGGGCACATTCACTGAAGTTGTTGTGAAGTTGTTTCAGACTCTTTGTGGCCCCATTTTTGAAGTTTTCTTGGCCTAGATACTGGATGGGTTTGTCATTTCCTTCTCCAGCTCCTTTTACAGATGAGGAACTGAGGCAAACAGGGCTAAGTGACTTGCCCAGGGTCAGATAGCTAGTATCTCATTAAGATGAGTTTTCCTGATTTCAAGCCCAGTGCTCTAGGCACTGCACCTAGCTGCCCCTTTTGCTGCAATAGCTATAGAAATAATAAAGCTAACATACAGCACAATAAGGTTTGCAAATCTCTTTACATATGTTATCTCATTTGATCTTCACAATAACCCCACGAGGCAGGAGAGATCATCCCTATTTTACAGATGGGGAAACCGAGGCAGGTTAACTGACTTGCCCAAGATCATACAGCTAGGAGGCTTCTGAGGCAGGATTAGAGCTCAAGTCTTCCCAGCTCTAACTTCAACACTCCCTTAACTGACCTAACTGCATTTCTTTGGCTTCTACGTTGCTCAGAGGGACCTTAAGATAAATAACTACCATGGCAACTACGGTGCTTTGAAAAGTAGTACCCAGTTGCTCACAACTAATAAAATTGATCAGAAAAGATTCCAAGTCAGCAAATAAATAAAGAAGCTGACATGAAGCAGGTTTGGGGTGGGGGGAAGGGTGGTGAAGGTCATAGATCATAGGGATCATAGCTCACAGATTTAGAGGCCATCTAGTCCAACACCCTCCCTCATTTTATAGTTGAGCAGACTAGTCCAAAAGATGTGATTTGCCCAAGATCGCACTTAGTAAGAAAGGGAGGTTTTGAAATTGAGTCCTCTGACTCTAAAGCCAGTGCTTTGCTTTTAGACCTTTTGAGCTTTTAAAAATTAAATATAATCTTTTCTGATGAAACAAAAATTTCCCCTTTTTGTGTCCCATCTCTCCTCCCTGCCCCTGCTCCAAGAAAGAACAAAACTCTTGTGAAAAACATGCATAGTTAAGCAAAACAAATTCCAGAATTGGCCATGTCCAAAAGATGTCTCAATCTGTACTCTGAGTCCATCAGTCTGTCAGGAGGTAGGTAGCATGTTGCATCTTCGGTTCTTTAAATTGTGGTTGGATACTGAGTTGACGAAAGTTCTAAATCTTTCAAAACTGTCTTTACAGTGTTATCATTGTATGAATTGATCTAGTTCTACTCACATTGTGCTGCATCAGTTCATGTAAGTCTTCAAAGGTTTCTCTGACTCCATCCTTGAGTTAACTTCTTAGAGCACAGTAGTATTCATTATATTCATATACCATATCTTGTCCAGCCACTTCTCAATTGATGGCCATGCCCTTTAGTTTTGTACATGTTGAGTTTGAAGCCCAGTGGGATGTCCACATGAAGATTTTGGAGTTACAGGTAGAAGACTAAATCTATGAGGGTGAGATTTTAAAGGGAGGGAATAAAAGGACAGAAGAAAAGAGGAGCCAAAGATGAAGCTTTGGTAGAACACCTACAGTTCAAGGCAGGAGGAAGATAGTAAACTGAGTCAGGTTGCAAATGAGGAAGTCAACTAAGGCTGTCATTTTGAAAAAAGTTCCTTTCTGTCCCAAATCTCACAGCAGTTACCCAATAGAGCAGGGGCTATTCAGTTTTCACTGCCTTACTGCGGTGCAGTCATTCTTCTCTGAACTGAGTGATTTACCCTTGAGCTCCAAAGGAGGAGCAAGGAGAGGTTACTCAGCTGACCCCTCTCCTCAAATTGCCCACATTTCCTTTCTCTGCAATGAAAGAGGGGGAAAGAGGAGGAGGTGGCAAAGGGTTGCACAGATAGAGGTTTTTCAAGATGAGAAGAAACAATGGCGTCCCACTTTTGCAAGGGGCTAGTTGTTTCCCAGAGTGATACTTACAAAGAGGCCCCTTCCCCCACCTGACCCCTACCTAATTACTAGGATAGGACACCAAAATACAGAGAGCAAGGCCGGAGGGTGGGGGCGGGCTGGAGGTGGGCCTGAATTTCTCTTCTTTCCACTTAGGCTAACAATGACATTTCCTATGCCGCTAGAGAAGGTAGCACTGCCCTGGGACTCCGGAGCAGACCGAAGGGAGGTCTGAGCACTGGAGGGGACCACTTTGCCTTCCCCTTCCCGGCGTCTTTTGTGGGGATCAGCAAGGAGGCATGAGTGCAGAAGCGCAGGAGGAGGACGCTGCGTCCAGCTTGCTTCTGGAGGACATCCAGAGACGGCTTCGGAGCGCTTTCCGCAGTCCCATCTCACCCCAGGACGTCCCTTCGCTGTCACGGGCGCCTGGGAAGCAGCAACAGGAACCGCAGCAGTCCTGGGAAGGCTCTGCGAGGCGGGCCACTGCCGTGCAGGAGTTGCTGCGCAGCGCGCACATAGACGGAGCCATCGCTTGGCTGCGGGCAGAACTGATGAGCCCTGCCAAGATGGCCTGGGCTAGAGACTTCCGTCTCTCGCTTTCCTTCTCGTTGTCCCTGTGCTTTCCTCTTCTTTCTTCCTTTTTCTTTTCCCTTCCTGATCTCGCCTCTTCTCTCCTCTCCTAACTTTTTCTTTACTATATTTGTATATTTGGCTGCAAATGTTTGAAACTCTGGTAAGACAGGAGGGAAGGAGGGAGAGAGGGAGAGAGAGAGACAGAGAGAGAGAGAGAGAGAGAGAGAGAGAGAGAGAGAGAGAGAGAGAGAGAGAGAGAGAGAGAGAGAGAGAGAGAGAGAGAGAGAGGTAGCTCCTGGAAAGGGTGGGGCTGGTGGAAGAGTGGTCTGCCTTTATCCACAGTCAACATTTCATCATCCAGTCAACAGGTTAACATCCCAAAGAACTCTTCAATCTTTCATCCTTTGGAAGGAAAAATGGTACAGAGATCACGAGTACTACCAGGGTTATACTCCGGATAGGTGGTAAATTCTCTAGTCATACGTTATAAAGGATCATAGATTTAGAGCTGAAAGGGAACCTAGAGGTCATCAGATCCACCCCTTAGGACACTGAGGACACCAGAGAAGTGGTGCCTTGCCTGAGGTCTCACCAGGTACAAATGGAGCAGAACCAGAATTTGAACCAAGACAGGGGTGGGGAACCAGTGGCCGAGGTCTTCTGATTCTTACCTCACCACAATAGGTTTGCCTTTTGTGTTTACTTTCCACATTCAAATGGCAGATAAACTTCAGTACTACCTGTAGCATTTCGATGATATGGATTCAAATCCCATCTCTGATACTTATTACCTGGGTGAACTTGGGCAAGTCACAGCCTCCTTGATTCTCAGTTTCCCCATATGTTAAAGGACTAGATGGCTTTTAGGGTTCTTTCCTGTTCTAGATCTACGATCCTATGAACAAATTGGGGACTGGCTGGCTAGTGATGATTGTGGCTGTCCATCTGCACACTGAAGACCTTGAGCCATACTCATCCTCTTTCTTTTGTTGTAAAGTAATGTTTTGGAAAATTGGAAATAATTTAACCACATGTGACTATTTCTCCAATCTGCAGAGGAGTGGCAGTATCCATTCTCCTTTTCAGTAGTTCAGTAGTGCAGATAAAATATTTAACAAGTAGACCAGGTATTTCAGATTTAACTTTTGGTCCAAATTGGAGTACAGAAAGTTACCAAAGCGTCTTTGCTGAAGCTCAAACAGAAATGTTGAATCCTCTGAATACCTAGCTGGTAGTGTATATGTGTGTGTGTGTGTCTTTCCCTCTCTTCCTATTACCATGTAGACATTCTGTACATATTTAGGTATGTTGTCTGCCCAGACAAAAAATACATTCTTTAAGGTCACGAACTATTTCATTTTTGTCTTTAAACCTCTATTAAGTGTAAAGTACTGTACCTACTAAGTGCTAGAAGCTAGAGGTATAAAGACAAAAATGAAATAGTTCCTGCTATTAGTACTTAGTAGGTACCTAACAAATGCTTATTGAGTGATAATGGGGAGTTCTACTTAGCAAAATGGTGCTTTTTTCCATTAAATTACATGGTATTGCAAACTTCAGAAGTTAGTTTTCTTCCATAAGTCTAATTTTTTTTTAAGAGAGACAATTGGGGTTAAGTGACTTGCCCAGAGTCACAAAGCTGGGACATATTATGTGTCTGAGGCCGGATTTGAACTCAGGTCCTCCTGACTCTAGGGCCGGTGCTCTATCCAGGGTTAAGTGTGCCACCTCGCTGCCCCATCCATCAGTCTATTTGAAAACACTTTAGATTTTTTATTTTTTGCACAATAGGGAAGGCATATGGCACAGTGGAAAGAGTGATGGATTGGGAGTCAGAGGGCCAGGGTTCACACCCTACTTCTGCTGACTTGTATGAACTTGGACACATCACTTAATGTTTCTGAGCTCTAGTTTCCACATACGGAAAATTAGGGAGTTGGTCTAGAGGATGTCTGAGATTCCTTCCAGCGCTGAGTCTATGATCCTATGAATTTCAGGGCTATGATTATTTGTGTCCAAAATCACAATAATATTCTTATAGCCAACTTTGTTTAGAGAACACCAGATTTTCTTCTGAGCAGTTAAGAAAGCAGAGAGACATTTTTAGTAGGAAACAAATGATTGTTTCAGGAGAAACAAACTATCTAGAAATTGCCACTACAGCCAATTTTTATGAACATTGACTACAATGCAGTAGAAGTGATTGACGTTATGGAAATATAGACTCAGTTCGTCCAGATGGGAAGATGGGTTGGGTATCAACTCATTCACTTAAAACACTTGCCAGATTAACTTGCTGTTTGTAAAACTTATTCTGGGAATGATCTCCCAACTATTGGAATATTTAGAACTTTTGCTTTAGTTCTTATTTCTTACCTTTATGGCATTTTCTGAGCAGGAAATATAATTGAGTAGAGCCTTAGTTTCAGTGATGTGGTACTCCCTCCACTGGTTTAAATTGTAGTTCCTCCAATACCTTTGCATCCTTTATGACTCGACTACATTTTCCATCAAGTCTCCATGGAGGATTTGCCCAACAAGATAGAGCCCCTCCTTTCTTTTTAGTATTTCAGTTGTCACAGCGTGCCACTTGGGTTCTCTGTTGTCATGTATTTTCACATATCTAGCTCATTTCTTCCAGTAATACATAACCTCAGTGAAGTTTTCTCCATTTCTTCTCATGCACAAGTCATGGTTGGTGACATGCTTATGACCACTATACACTGTGCTATTGTTCTTTTGTTTATTTGTCATTTTAATTCTTTGATGGCATTTCATGGTCTGCAGCCATATAGCTTCAGTGGAAGTGCATTGGTGTTGAAAACAAGAGCTTTTCATAGCAATAAACAATTTAGGATCAATGAAAAAACTGGTGATTTCTCTGTCTTGGCTTCCTAATAAATTCTGGGCTCTGATGTGTATCTGCATCAATACTCTATAAGTATGTACTTCTGGACCAATATAATGGGATGCTTAATCACTGGGGATATAAATGGGTTGAAACTAAAATATTGTAATCTTGTGACTAGCACTTTGCAAATAATAGGCATTCAATAAATATTTGTTGAATAAATGATTGAATACCTCTGCTTCAAAAATTTAAAAGATAGAAGAGACTAATAGCTAAAATTGATTTTGCAAATTACTTGTAGATTTTTTAAATGTCTGTTCTAATTTAAAAATCAATATTAAACCCCATTTGTTGGGTTTTGCTTCTCTGATCATCTTTCTTAGGCAATTCAGTACCTGAGTAACAGTTTTCCTTTGTGTCCTTACCCTTGCCTTCATAATATACGTGTTGTATATAATATACGTGTATTGAAGGGACAATAGGCATGTTGATATTCCCCTCAAACACCCAGGACTTCCAGTTCATAGGATCATAAGAGCTAGAAGAGATCCTAGAGGTCATAGAGTTCAGTGCTTTCATTGTATAGATGAGAATACTGAGGCAGAGAATTTGTAACTTGCCCATGGTCACATAGCTAGTAATTGTCTGGGACAGAATTTGAACTCAGTTCAGCTTGACTTCAAACCCAGCACTTTATCCAACATGACACCTAGCTATCTCAACTTCTTTACCTCCCATGAGCTATGTCTTTACTCATAAGGGTTGTTATAGGTATGTCTCACCATCATCCATATCAATGCTATTTCCATCTTCCTGAGCTATGAAATTCTTTTTGTTTTATTATAGTCATCTATTTTTCCATCTTTCCTTGTGTTTCACTCCTCATAAACCCACTCTTTGTCCTTACTTCAACGTTAAGTACCTCTATTCTTTGTTCACACAATCTATCATACCTCCTCTGGCTTTCCCATTGTCTCTTCACAGTTTTGACCCCATAGTTCATCTTCAACTACACTTTGTCCTCCATCCTTGAGTTATTTTCCTTCTCGTCTTACTGCTATTCACATCCTTCCAGTCCTCAAACATACCATATACATTCTCTGTTTCTTTCTCCATATTACTGAACACAACTGGAGGGAATCACACAACTGTGCCGACTGTGTCAAGCAAATTTGTGTTATCCAATCTCAATTTTGCGCAAATTTGTGTTATCCAATCTCAATTTTGCCATTATGGATGTATGACAATCCTTTTATTCTTCCCTGATTCTCCATTTCATTACTTGAAATAGCTATTCTAATCATTATTTTAATGCAAATGTTTCTATATGTCTTTCAAATGTACACATTTAGTCCTAATCTTTCTCATGTCTCGCATTACCAACTGTCTATTGGTCTACACCCTTCTCCATCTTGGATATCCTGTCAGAATATCAAACTCAACATGTCCAAAACATTTTCATTCTCTTTCCTTCCAAATTTGCCCATCTTCCAAACTTTTTTCTTCCCTGTTCCAGCACTACATCCTCCCAGTGACCCAGGTTTAAAGCCTCAGAATCTTCCTTGACTTTTCTTCTGTCTTGCCACCCTCACACTTACCCCATTCAGTCATTTGTCAAATCTTGTCTTTCATGCCTCCTGACATCTCTTGAATCTGCCCTTTCTGTCCACTCACATAGTCACCCTACTTCCACCCTTTATCCTCTTCCATCTAGATTACTTTAATTGGTCTCCTGGTTTCCATTTTTTCTTCTCTCCAATTCCTTGTCTCTCCACAAAGCTGCCAAAAGGCATAAGAGTCAGACCAGAAGCCTTCACTGGTTCCCTGTTGCCCTAGGATAAAATACAACTGGATCAGCCTGGTATTTAAGACGATTCACATTCTGACTCCAATCTGCCTTCACAGCTTCGTCTCACATTACTTCTCTCTATGCATTTTCAGTTCTGAACAAACTAGATGACTCCCTTCTCTGATATCAGCATTACATTTCCTGGCTCTGCACAATTGTAAATCATACTCTCCACAAAGGTTGAAATGAATTCTGTCTTGATCTTTCTTCTTAGAATCTATATATTCCTCCAGGGTTCAACATATCCTGAATCCCTTCAGCTGTTAATGATCTGTCTTTCTCTCTCTCTTCAAATTTCCTTGCATTTACTTCTCTGTGAGCCTGTTATATCAACCCCCAATAGAAAGTTAGCTCTTTGAGGATGAGTTTCTGTTTTGAATTTTTATGACCAATATCTATCTCATTGCCTTGTACTTAATAGGTGCTTAATACACATTTTTAAAAAAATAGGCACCTAATACATATTTATGATAATAACATTTATTTAGCACTTTAAGGTGTGCTTTACAAATATTATTTCATTCTGTGTTCTAAATAGCCCTGGGAGACAAGTGCTATTATTTTCCCAATTTTATAGATGGGGAACCTGAGGCAGACAATGGTTAAGTGACTTGCTAGAGTCACACAGCTAATAAATGTCTGGTGCTAGCTTTGTATTCAGGTCTCCCTTACTCTAGGCCCAATGCTCTAACCACTGTACCACCTAGCTGCCTTTATCTACCTATCTATTTTTAAGTCATAGAATAAAACAAGCATTGCCATAACAGTAAATAAAAAAAGATGATTGCACATGAAATTGCAAATCTATTACATACAACTTGCTATTCCTTTTAAATATATAATAGCTATCCCTTCCCCATTGTGACTTTCTGCATCATGGTTTTGATATATCATGGGTTGGCATAAGAAATTAAATGGGAACTTTTTGGGAGTTTTGTGGAAGCCACAGATGACACATGAAGGCTAGGAGACTTCACGGAAAAAGTTTAGAAACTCAGAAATGCATAAAATATATGTATGACATTGTAATATCTATATATTTTATCTTTTAATACTGTAATAATTCAAATTTCTTCTCTGGTATGAAGGGAGGGCCAAAAAATTTTATTATGTTTTCGAGATCATGAGGGCACCTTACTCCTAACCCCCTCAATGTGGAAGGGATAACTGTAAAGTTATCATGTAAATTTCTCTTTTTTTTCTTCCCCCTTCCCCAACCTAGAGATGGTTACCATTACACACAAATAGGCATATATAGGTAACATTCTATACATACTTCTATTTATCAGTTCGTTCTCTGGATGCAGATAGCATCTTTGTATGTTCTTATTAGCTAATTTGGGCATTTATGATAGCCAAAATGACTTATTCACTCAAGTCATTCTTAAAACAACATTGCTGTTACTGTATACAATGTTTTCTTGGTTCTGCTCATTTTGTTCTTCGTTATTTCATGCAAGTCTTTCCACGTTTTCCTAAGATCATTGAGTTCATCATTTCTTATAGCTGCCTCATATATTTGGATATAATATGATATCCTATGACAAGCTCTATGAGTCTCTAGGCATTCTGTCTTATCTGCACTTTGTGGCTCACTTGGAATCTAATCTAGTGCTCTGTAAATAGTGCTTCGTAAATGTTTGCTGGATTGAATCAAACAGGATTCTAGCAGGACTAGGGTAGCTGGGTGGCACAGTGCATAGAGTTCTGAGCCTGGGACCAGGAAGAATTGAATTCAAATCCAACCTTAAACACTTACTGGCTGTGTGCCAGGGATGGGACTTGAGTTAATAATAATTGCTAGCATAGAGTTTTATGATTTGCAAATGTTTTACATGTGTTATCTCTTGATCCTTACAGCAACCCTGGCAGGTAGTGCCATTGTTATCCCAATATTACTCACAACAATGTAGTTTATTATAATGATAGCAGCAGATGCTATTCTCCTAATTTGGCAGTTGAGAAACCGAAGCAAACAGAGATTAACTGACTTGCTCAGGGTTACATAGCTGGTGTCTGAAGCTGAATTCTAACTTGGATGTACCTAACTGTAAGCTTAGTGCTCTATCCATTGTGCCACTTAGTTGTAGGGTCCTTGTGTGTGTGTGTGTGTGTGTGTGTGTGTGTATGTGTGTGAGTTTAGATATCTATAAATATTCTTCTAAGGCCGCAGTGCCAATGTGTTGCATGAGGACTCCTGAAAGTCCCCAAGATCCTTTCAGAGGGTCCATGAGGTCAGAATTATTTTCATAATAAAACTTCCCATTATTTGTCTATTAAAATAGTCCTCCTCTTTCCAACTACATATCTGTGTTAATGGCAGATTTTCTTCATATATTTCAACCAAAACAACAGATGGAATGCAGAAGCAGATATGAGAATCCAGCTGTCTTCTATTAAGCTAGACATTAAAGAGATCTGCAGAAATATGTAAAACAGTATCACTCTTCTCACTATAGTATTTTTTTGGGGGAAATATGGCTACTTTTCATAAAAATATGTCACTTATTTCAATATGTAATGGGTTTATTATTGTTATATGGAATGAATTGATTCATAAATATTTTAAAATTTTATCAGTTTTAATTTCTAATATGGTAAATATTGATATATGTGACCCACATAAACAAAAGCTCTTTGGGGTGCTCAATAATTGTTAAGAGTGTAAAAGGACTCTGAGACCATAAAGTTTGAGAACTACTACTCTAAGGTATAGTTAAGTGTTTCTACTGAACAGTAGGAACCACTTGTACTCCTAGAGGCTCAAAGTAACAAGTATTTTGAAACTCCTATAGACCCACAATTATCTGATATGGGTACTTCCTCTTCTTTGTGAATGGGAACCCATTCAGTCCATCTTATTCTATGAGATTCTTGTACATAACTTTTACTAAGTCCTCCAGACAATACCACCTAGTGCTCTGGAGCTCTTTCTTGAGGCCTTTTAAAATTTCGCCGGGACACATCAACACACAAAAACTAGGCTTCCCATCTGTTAAGCATGGCTTTTTTCTACATGGCGAGGCCTCTTCCTTTCCTATAGTCTGTATCTATGACAATGCCTTTTACGTTACTTCTTGCATGACAACAACAATGATGATGATGGTAATAGCTAGTCAGTTAACCCTACTCTTAATCACCATGGATGATTTTTAAACAAATTTACTTCTTGGTTTCATGACTGGCTTCCTACAACATTGCAACAACAACAGTAATAATGCTGATGCTGATGATGGTGATGATAGTGGTGGTGGTGGTGGTGGTGATAGCTAGCATTTATATAGCACCCTAAAGTTTACAAAGCACTTTACAGATATTATATCATTTGATCCTAACAATAGCACTGGGAGGCAGGTCATATCATAAACCCTCATTTTACAGATGAAGAAACTGATAACTATTGTTAATAATATGGTGTGTCCTTCTTATGTCCATTATGTATCTTTCTAGAGTTTTAGTGTTCAGGTAATCCCCAGACATGTATCTTGTGGCCTTATAAGAATAGATGAATTTATATTTGGACACATGACATTGTATGAAAATGGTTTTGCATGCATAAAAAGTCATTACTAACAATTTTGCTCATCAGTTACTTTTGCTTTAATTTCACTATCACTTTGGAAGTGATTCATATGGCTCATGCATCATAAATTCAGAGCTGGAAGATAATTCAGGAACACTGCATGTTATAGATGGGGAAGTAGAGGTCTAGAGATAGGGGCTATGGAAAGACACACACACACACACACAGAGACAGAGAGAGAGAGAGAGAGAGAGAGAGAGAGAGAGAGAGAGAGAGAGAGAGAGAGAGAGAGATTATATGACTTGCCCAAGGTCATACAAATAGTAAATGACAGAGCTGAGCTTGAACTCAAATCCTCTGACTTCAAATCCAAATGTTCTTTCCACTGCACTATTCTTTGTTAATGTAGAAAGTCCATTTTATAGCCCGTAAGTAAGGTATAACTAAAGAGTAAAGAGGACAGTGAATTTAACACCCATCAAATTTTTCTTCCCCACAAACTCCTCATTCGTCTTGCACAGTCATTCTTCTTGATGGTTATCTTCAGCTAATAAAATCCTCCTTGTGTATTTCCCCTCCTTCTAGTTGGAGATGTGCTTCCAGAACTGGCAGCTCACCAGCACCTTGGTGAACTTAAACTTGGAGATGCAGCAACTGAAGATTGAAAATGAACTGTCCACAGCTTCTGAATGTCCAACCCTGGGAAAGATCATTATGAGCTCGGAATAATAAAGTATGTGTCAGGAGACATAAAGCCCAAAGACAAAATATATTTTCCACAAATAATTCTGACACAAATATCATGAGCTTCTACCCGTGTACATTTTGAAAAGTTCCATGGGAAATAGAAGAAAAGAACATGGGCCATGGATGGGGCTGCTTTGACTTCTTTCCCCATGCATCCCCTACTGGTTCCATTTATCTTTTGCTAATTTAGCTATCCAAGGTCATCTCAGATTTCAGAAGTGGTGTCCCCTGTAGCTGGTTATTCATCACTTCACATTTTGGAGAGTCAATTTTCCTCTTGTTGAATGAAAACATTTAAAATAATCTTTAAAACACTGCATCCTTTTTGATTATTGTACAAATTTCCTTTCCATTAAAAAATGATGAAATAGTTTTAAAAGTTGAGAAATAAAAAAAGTCTATAAACCTAAGCACCCCTTTCTATTAAAAACACACACACATCAATAAACAAAAACCACACTTAGAATATATGTAACTTTAACACTAACTGATGATAAAAACAGTGTCTTAAGGTCATGGAAAACACATCTGGCTCACTTGTCTGTCTTTTCCTTCCTTCCTTCCTTCCTTCCTTTCCTTCTTCCTTCCTTCCTTCCTTCCTTCCTTCCTTCCTTCTTTTTTTCTTTCCTCATTCTTTCCCTCTTTCTTACCTTCCTTACTCCTTCCCTCTCTTCCTTCCTTACTTCCTCTCTGCCTTCCTTCATTCCTCCCTTCCTTCCTTCTTTACTTTTTTCCTTCCTTCCTTCCCTTTTTTTCCCCTTCTTCCTTCCTTTCCTTCTCCTTTCCCTTCTTCCTTCCTTTACTTCTCTTTTCTCTTCTTCCTTCCTTCCTTCTTTTCCTTTTTTTCTCCCCTTTCCTCCCCCCTCCTCTCCTTTCCTTCCTCTTTCCTACCTTCTTGCCTGCCTGCGCCCTCCCTCCCTCCCTTTCTCCACCACTGATATTATGCCTGGGTAAAGATTTAGGAGTCACCACAACTAGTTTAAATTAGTAATTGTGTTCTCAATTAGGATAGTGATGATACTCAAATCGCAGAATTTTAGATGTGGAAGGGACCTCCAAGTCCATCTCTACCAAACCGTATCCTCCAAAGAACCCACAACATGATAAATCTGACCAATGGTCATCTAGCCTCTGCTTGAAGAACTCCAGTGAGGGAAAACCCACTCTCTCCAGAGGCAGCCTATTTCACTTTTGGACAGTTCTAGTTGTTAGTCTTTTTTTTTTTTTTATGATAGTTTAAAGTGGACTCTTTGCATCTTTTATCCATTTCTCCTGGTTCTGTCCACTGGGGCCAAAAAGAAGAACGAGAGGATGTGGGTTTGAATTCAAGCTCTCCAACTTGGTCACTTAATCTTCTGGGGCTTCACTTTTCTTATGTCTACTGTAAAAAGAAGAGTTAGACTAGGGGACTTCTAAGACCTCAATCCAGCTCTCAATCAACGATTTTTATAATTCTAAATCCAATTCATCTTCCACAAGACAGCGCCTGGGGTCTTCTCCAGGATAGCTAGAAAGAACCATCATCTTTATTTAATAATAATAGCTCAAATACATATGATGTTTTCAGTTTACAAAGCACCTTCCTCATCATGGCCCAGTTAGGGGTTGTACTTATCACCATTTTACAGATGAGAAAATGGTTTTAGAGATATTAAGTGACTTGTCCATCATTAGAACCTAGTAAAACTAACAGCTAATTTGAATTTGAACTCAGGTCCTCCTGACTCCAGGGCTGGTGTTCCACCTAGCTGTCCTCTGCTTTAATGTTAAAAGTAGTGTTATTTCTCAATAAATGTAGTATTTTCAGCTTTGAAAAGTGCTATATATATACAGGATCTCATTTAAGCCTCACAAAAACCTATTGTGAACAAGGTATTGTATTATCCCTATTGTTCAGATGAGGAAACAGGTTTTTGCGGAGTTAAATAGTTTGCCCTTGGTCACACAACCAGTGTGGCAAGATTTACATTCAGGTCCAAGTTCCGCACTCTATCCACTGTATCACAGAGCTAGCACTTTCTTTCACTTGTAAAATGGATGCATTACTATGTGCTATTTGCCCATGGCCATTGGTTTCTAAGAATAAGAACCTGGCCTAGTCTGCCAATTACATTATGGCCTTTGGCTTGAAGAAATTAATTGTCTTTCTTTAAATAAACTGAGACCTTTTTCAAGATGAATCCTAATTCAAAGAATAGACTATAAACCTCTGCCCCCAGTTTCTAGCACCTCTTTCCTAATAAAACAATTGATGTATTTTCCAATAAATGATTTTCAAGTAAAAGGTGTGGCTTCTTTCCCAACAGTTGGGTGCTTTGCTGCCAACATGTATAGATCTTTATGATTAGAATACATGAGAGGTGATCAGTTTTGTGGATGTGTAAGTAATTAATGTTAAGTAATTCAGATCTACAGTTTGATTTTGTTGATGCTATGTTGTATTTTGGGATTCAAGCACTCTGGTATAGAGAAAGTCATTAAAAATAGTTTCATTGATGCGTTTTAAAAATATTACAGTCATTTCTGTGTATACCCTCCTCCCTCCCCCTTTCTACTGTCCATATAACAAAGAATAACAGTGAAGGAAGGAAAAAAAATCACTACAATGACTGTATTAGATGAGAATGTATCCAACATTCTACCCTTCTGGCTCCTACTCTCTCTACCAATAGGATGAATGTAAGATGGAGGCATGTTATATGATCTGTTCTTCAGGACCATTCTTGATTTATGAATGAGAGGTTGTGGAAAAAGGATGCTTCGTATTGGACTTTTCCATAATTTTGGCAGAGGAATTTTTTTTTTTTAATTCTCTTCCTTTGTTTGGGGATGGCCTTTTTTAGGGCCTACTGTATGTTGTTGCTGTGGCTTCATCAGTGGGGGAACTTGACCTGTGATATGAACCCAGTAACATGGAAATACAATGGGAGCTTTTTCTTCAGAGCACTATAGCTATTTAAAGTTTTCCAATCTGTATTCTACCATTAAGTGAATTTTGTAGTGAATGATATTCTCTTTATTCTAGCAACAGAAAACGAGTTTCCTTTTATTTAAAAAATTCTTGTAAATGGTTTTCGGCTATTTAATGTTAGCGATCTTAGGGGAAGAATATGAAGAGGCAGCAGGGAAATTAAAGGATGCACTTTCAACTGGTAACTTTTCCTCCTTAGAGTTGCCTTTTAAATAAGCTAGAGGAACAATGTAACTTCTTAAATAAATGTGAGATAAAAGGAAACAAGCCATTACCATCTGGGGACTAGGGAGAGTGAGGAAAGGGAAAGTCATTGTAATCAAAATGGTGCCCTGTGGGCAGTTAGTCTTTCAGAAAAGAAGAAAGTATTTAAAATGATGGCGGACACAGAGAGCAACAAGAGGGAATCAAATAGTTTAGTGAGCAAAGCGGGGCGTTTAGATTTCTTAGAAGACACATTCTCTTTCAGCTCTTTAATTGAAGGTGGGAGGGACAGGAAGAAATCAACTGTAGCAGAGAAATTCCCATCTGTGTGTTTCCTGCTATATAATAGCGCTTTTTGTATCACCTAGTTGAGAGTGGTTGTGAAAGAGATGGCCTCCTAAGGTTCCTTCCAGCTCTAAAAACTGGGGTTGTGTCAAGAAAAGAATCAGTTTAAACAGACAGAACATACACCTCTACTTTTCTTAGCATAAACTATCCACATTTTGGTTTTGGGTTCATACCTATGATTTCAATGATTCAGGGCAGCAACATTGCTTATTAGTGTAAATTAGCAACTTTCCTGCTACTTTCTGTCTTAGAAAGTTGCCTAGGTCAATAAAAAGGTTAATTGACTTGTCTGGGTTCACACAACCAGTGGGAGTCAGAGATGGAACTTGAACCCAGGTTTTTTTTTTCTTTATTTTGGCTTCAAGTCCACCTCTCTAAACCCTAAGCCATACTGCCTCTTATACCTAATAAATAAGTAAACCAACAAATAAACGAATGAATGAATGACATTTAGATATCAATTTAAGGTTTGCAAAATGGTTTCTAGATATTATCTCATTTGAGTTCCACAATAACTCTGTGAGACAGGGAGAGCTTCTAATATCATTATTGTCATTTTATAGATATAACATATGGTAAAGGACTCCTGCAAGACTCTGGCCTCATCAGAAGGATTAGGTATGATTCTAGGGGCTAATCCTGGAAAGCCAATTTCTCTTTTTGGCTCATTACATTTGGCTGGAGTGTATAAGAAAATCTCTAAATATAGCTAAGGTTTAGCTCATGTCTAGGTTTCCCCAAATGTGAGTAACAGGATCCCAGCACTCAAAAAGTAATACATATGGATAGGACAGTTTTTATTGTAGCTGACTGAAGACACAATTAGTCTATAGCAGCCCATAAACAGTTAAACACATAAAACACTCAAATAGCCCCTTAATTCCTCTCAGAAGGGCACTGAAATCGGGGTTGCCATTGAAGCAATTCTTTGACATTCTAGGTGATCCCTACCTTTTCCACAAGGTTCTACATAGTCCTTCCTAGGTCATTGGTATAACCTAAGGGTTTAGATTCTCTCTAGAAGGCAAGTATACTTTAGGATTGCTGAGTTATCTGCTTTCCATCAAACTTGCACTGTCTCAATAACTTGCTAACCAAGAAGGCTGCTGCTCAAAGAACTATGGGACCAATTCTTTTCTTTCTTAAAGGGGCACATTGTATGAAGACATCATCTGTCCTCATAAGATTTAGTATCTGAATTCTTGATCTTGGAAAATCTCAAACTGGGAAACTCTTGAACTTGAGATTACTCAGGCAACCCCTCAAAGCTGGCCCTGTCTAGGAAATCTCTCCCCCCCCCTCGCCCCTTTCCCTTCCTAGATAGATAGCCAGATTCTAGAATCACACTCCCTAGTGAATTAAAATTCTTACTCCTTTGTTGAAGTGCAGGAAACGAGGTCAATGATCTGCCTTCCCAAGCCAAGCCCATGAATGCATAACATTTAGATATCACTTTAAGGTTTGCAAAGTTCTTTCCAGATATCACTGTTATTTCACGTTGTTTCACAACAACCCCGTAAGGTAGGGGGAATTTTAAGTATTATTAATATAATTTTATAGATATAATATTTGGTACAGGACTAGTCCTGTGTGGGCTTAAGGGAGCCCACATTTAAGCCTCTGCCATGTGCTTAATTCAGGAAAATCCATTGATGTCCTAACTTCGGTCATCTCTTCAGCTGGGAAAGTCCATTTAGCATCTTTCCTCTGAGGCCACAGACAAGCCCATTCTTCTGTGTACCTCTGCTCCAAGGCAGCTGTTTCCAATGCCTGATGAGGAAAGACTATGCATGGGCATGCAATTCTTCTCTCTGGG